CCTGAGCTTGTCACTGTGCACTTGAAGTAGCAGGAGATTCGTGAGCATGCCTTGGAGCGTGACCCGTTCAACACAGCCTTAGCCGGTCCGGTCTCCTGCTTATTTATTGTCTGAAGCAAATCCATCTTTGTTTTCTCGGCCTGGTTTCTTAAAGCACATTTGGTTCAGTAAGTGTTTATGTCACCTGACCTGTGCAGGACGTCTCAGGCTTTGCAGCCCTCTACAAATATACCATTTAATCTGGTCCTTTGAAAGTTTTCTTATAAAACGTAACTCTCAGCTCAATCGATATATCATACACTGCTATGTAAATCAAGATTTTATATAGTTTATTTATTTCGGTAAGTTGGTAAAAGTTATATCCTTAGAAGCTATTTTATCCTGATGAAATCATTAAAAGAACTTCCGTTTAGCTGCAGAGCATCAGCTCCGATGATGTGTATGTAGAAGAGTGTTACGCGTTCTCATGATGCGATGCACAAACTCAACAAGAGTTAAGGGCGGCGATATTAAATGTAGTCCCTAACAATTCGTGGAGATGCGCTGTCCTGGAAACTGAAGCTTTATGTGCCATTCATTCACTTATTTAACAAACACTCGTCCGAAGCTCTGTGCAAGCCCGGGCGAGCGTCGCATGCTGAAAGGGCAGGCCTGACCCCGAAGCACTTCTAGCTTCGGCCTGAAGCGCGCAGAGCCGCCTCCGGGACCTGACTGCCTCGCTGACTCCATCCACGCAGAACGGAGACGGGAGAGAAGGGAAATTTGAGTTTTGTCCATTTCTCGAATGACTCGAGTTTAGACGTGGGGGAGGGCGCACCAGGCTTTACTTCACCCTGCGACTCTGGGGAGGCCCCCCCCGGCTGAGAGGGAGTCACCGTGAGCCTTGGGGCCGTCCGCAGACACCCCGGAGGCTGGGGAGCCCCCCGCCACACGCGGTCCCACCCAGCGTTTATGCTGTTGTCGAGCTGGAACCTCGTGCCGACTTGGCTCCCGAGTGCCAGAGCCTGCTCCTTGTCCGCTAATTCCCACCCGCCCTTTGCCCTTTCACTGAGTGTCTGGAGAGGGGCTCGAGGTACTCACGGGGTTGAGGACCACAGTGAAGAAAAGCTCCCCTCCCTGGATGCTGCTGTCCAGCTCTTTCGGGCCCCCCGGATATTCTTTGTAGAAAATCGTGTGAGTGAAAAGCCCACAGGTTTGCCTTGGGAGAACCTGAAGGAAGAATGAGCAAGTCAGGAAAAAGTTCCTTTTAACCAATTCATGTGTCGAAACTCAGCTTTCTTCCCCCCTCTCTCTTGGATGATGGTGCGCAAGCTGGTATCATTATTCAGTTCTTAACTAAAGCTCAGAAAATCCTCCACAATCTGGGAGAGCCAGGATGACATC